TTTTAGGCTGGACATAAGGAAAAACTTCTTCACTGTCCAAGGCATAAAGCCTGGAATAGACTCCCTCCAGAAGTGGTGCAAGCACCTACTCTGGACACCTTCAAGAAACATTTGAATGCCTATCTTGTTGGGATCCTTTGACCCTATCTAACTCTCTCTCAAGCAATATATTCAGATTTAACTGACACATTTACTATATCCTATGTTATTACTGTTTATATTTTATGGCACTTGAGTACTGAGATGGTTGCCCTTTCCTACACAAGACAGGGCAGCCCCACTGAATGAACTGCTAGCCAGACTTATTATTCCAGTTTCCTTGGGGAGGGGAGAAGGGGAACAGGGGAATCTCATTTCAGGAATAATAATTACACAGACATTTAGTCACCAATGCTCAATATCAGGGACTATGCAGGAAACTTAAGACATCTGTGCTGAGTTGGCATCAGTGGATGTAGTAATTGTATATCCCTTGGAGATTAAGCCTCGTACTGTTTCATTTAGCAACTCTTGTAGGTGACAAAGAAGCATGGTTGGTTGGTTGCTTGTTCAGGATGCCACTGCAGTTGGATCCCTTCTGGCAAAAGATATTCTTATGAAACAAGGTATAGTCAGAGCCAGAGAAGAATAGAGGGCGTTTGTAGTTTTGTTCTGACCTGGAGATCTTCAGGAGATGGGAGAAAGTCGATGGCCTTACTATAACCAGACAAACTCTCACTGTCTGATGTTTCAGTTCATTATCAGCATGCCATTTGTCAGGATACACCCAAGGGTACAACTGAATGACAAGACCACTAGAATTAGGATAAACAACACAACATAAACAATGTATAGGAGAGTCCCAATACTGATGCTAGTCATATCTCCACTCTCCCAATTGTGTCTTCTTTTAGAACATGGATGAACTGGATATCAATGAAGGAGACATCATAGCAGTCATTGAAGAAGGCGAGGATGGCTGGTGGACAGCAGAGAGGAATGGTCAACAAGGATTTGTGCCAGGGTCCTACCTTGAAAAGCTTTGATGAAAAGCTGCACTTGTTTCAAGGCTCTAGTTTAAAGGTACCTTATTACTCAAAATACTGGATATGGCCAGCCATGACTGACCAAGAAGAGCCCATGACTTCTAAAATCATCATTTGGGGCCTAACAAAATGACATTTTTTCTACATCTTTCCCTCCACACTGAAGCAGTTTTTTCCCAGAGGGGCTAGAGGGGGTTCTTTTTTCACGAAGTTCTCTCCTCTCTTCCCTCCTTCTTCCTCACTGCCACTGACTTATCTATCAACATTATGCATTGAACGGAGTTCTTCAACATTAGAAGCATGGAGGAGAGAAAAGAGGAAGAATCCACTTCACTGCACTAAAAGATTGTTTTCAAGAGTGGAAAATGAGGAACATCCCTCTGTAATTTTGTGCCACCCCCGATTAGGTTTTTTAATCACTTCCATGGCCTTTTCTACCAAAAAGCAATTTTCTTCTTCAATGGTGTAAGCAACTTTGACATCCTTGCTGACTGTGTACCATTTGGGGGGCAGATATATGTATTTTAGTGGTTTGAATAAAGACACTTTTACTATACCTAGGTCTTAGCTGTACAACACAGTATGGAGGTTCATCTAATAGGCACAAAGGGACAAGGATGGAGACTCCTTATTTCTTCTTTACGCATAATTATCATCAAAGAGAACTGATAGAAAGTCAAACTCAAAACATAGCTCTAAAAACCATTCTGACATGAACAAAATATATGCCCTTACCAATCATCACCAACTCCTCCTATGATTTGTTAAACCCCAAGTCTTCCACAACCCCAACTTTGCATTGGATCCAAAGGCAATGAGGTGATATTAGATAACAGACGGAGTGTGGCCTTTGCTCTCTTTGATGGATTGTGTCAGACCTTATCAGTTCTTTCATGCACCTTATAAACTAACTGAATCAAAAATACATTAGCTTTGTGAGCAACAGCCTACCCTGTCAGATGCCACTTATGAAGTGAGCTGTTGCTCACAAAAGCTTATTCATCTCTGATTCAGCTAGTCTGCATCAGTGAGTTTCAACCAGGGTGCTATGACACCCTGTGATATCTTGGGATATTTTCAAAGGTGCTGCAGTATGCTGCACAATGTTAGCATTGTTAGGTGTGCAACCATGATTCAAAAGATAAACCCATAATTTTCACATCGCAATTTCTAGTGTTAAAAACATTCTGACCTATTTTGATCTTTCTGAGTTCTTTGCAACAGAAGAATTGCCCTATTATTTTTCTATAATTAAAAAAGAGTGAACGCTAAGAGCTGGCATTTGCCGAGGGGTGTGTCAAGTCTAAAATGGTTGAGAACCACTGATTTATATGGTGCATCCCCCACCCTACCTTCTGCCTAGGACAGCTCTCTTTCATCATCTTCCATGTTTAAAAATAAAATAAGTGAAGCCTTTCACTGTAGCAGCACCACCCAAAATAGCCGAGCTCTAATTAGGAGCTGCCAATCACATCCTAGACTCCCAAGCAACTGGCACATATGAAATTAATCCCCCATCCCATCTCCCAGCCTGCCTGATCTTCTCTTTCTCCCTTTCAAGATCTGACCGCCTCAAAAATCTCTGAGATCCTTGTCATAGATCTGTCCGGGTTCCTTTTCCCTCCCCCACATTGCATTCACACATTAACAAAGATCTCTTAAGCAAATCTGAGCATTTTGCATGCAAAAGCTTGACTTCTCTACAGGTCAGAGCATTTCTAGTCTCTCAGGTGACTGGTATTTGGGAATCCTTCCCAAAAAAATCATAGTATTTACCCAATAGACCATATGATCTCCCTTTAGCATTTTGAGACAATAAAACCCTTCAGGGATTTACTTAAAGAAAACTATTTCCTGGGGACAGAATGAACTTACTGTTTTCCAAAATCTCACATTTAAACTGAAGCAAACCCACAGTTAAGAAGCTCAATTGATGACTAGAAATGGACAAAGTGAGGAGACACATACAGTCTGGAGTCAAGATCTTAAAGCCAAAAAGAAATCTATATGAACATCTATATGAAAATGCAACAACAATCACTGGGACGGTTTCACATAAATGAATCAGCACCCACCCATAATAGCTTTTAATCCATCTCTTTGGTCAGAAACTAAGTACCGCAACCCCCCTGCCCCCGCCATCCTTTGAAGCATTCCTTCAATATCTTGAACTCTCTCACCTCCACGAATTGTCACTCTTATGACTTCCCTGCCAGAATTTCTATCCACTTCTAATCCTGGCCTGAAGCATATATAGAAGTACCTGGCATAGGCTAATGTCTTACATAAAGAAGGTAACAGAAGTTGCAGAGAAGGATGGTTTCCCAGTGCTGGCTGTTTAAATTTGCTGATGATACCAAAATTTGGGGTGAGGTGAGCATGCTAGTAGGGAGGGAAAGACTGCAGCAAGACTTGGATAGGTTACAGGGGTGGGCTAACAAAAACAGGATGTGTTTCAATACTGACAAGTGCAGGGTGCTGCACTTGGGCAGTAGTAACCAGCAGCACACTTACAAGATGGGAAATTCCCTTCTTGAGAGCACAGAGACAGAAAGGGATCTTGGAGTCATTATTGACTTCAAGATGAACATGGGCCGACAATGCGAGGTCACGGTTGGCAGGGCTAACCGGACCTTGTCGTGCATCCACAGGTGCATATCAAGCAGGGCCAAGGAGGTGATCCTTCCCCTCTATGCAACACTGGTCAGGCCACAGCTGGAGTACTGCATCCAGTTCTGTGTGCCCCACTTCAAGAGGGATGTGGACAACATGGACAGGGTCCAGAGGAGGGCCACCCGCATGATCAGGGGGCAGCAGGGCAGACCCTACAATGAGAGTCTGCGGGACCTGAACATGTTCAGCCTTCACAAGCAAAGGCTGAGGGGGAACCTGATAACCGTCTATAAACTCACTAGGGGGGAACAGAAGAGTTTGGGAGAGACACTGTTTCCTCTAGTGCCCCCTGGTATAACAAGGAATAAACGGCCACAAGTTGTTGGAGAGTAGGTTTAGGATTAGACATCCGCAAGAACTACTTCACAGTCAGGGCGGCTAGGATCTGGAACTAACTTCCAAGGGAAGTGGTGCTGGCTCCTACCCTGGGGGTCTTTAAGAAGAGGCTGGATGCCTACCTGGCTGGACTCATCTGAGCCCAGCTTTTCTCCTGCCCAGGCAGGGGGTAGATCTTCAAGTCCGACAAGGTCCCTTCTGACCCGACTTCTATGATTCTATGATTCAAGGCAGAGAATAAGCAGCAATTTGGGGCCCAGGCTGTCTTTGTTTTGCTTGTCTGTACTGTACATGGAGCTAATACTGAGCAGTAATAATAATAAAGTGCTCTGTGCAGGCTGATGGTGCCAGAAGGATATTTCTCCAGCTAGGTCTCAATTTTATAGCTATGGAATTGTGGGTTGCAATAGACCATGGCACTGTATGCCAGCTGTCTGAATTAGCTATTATGTAGCTAATCAAACAACCATAATCACCTTGAAACAAAAACTAAAGTATAGAGAATTTAGATATTTGCCTCCTTTAACAGTGAACCCATTACAAACAGAATTGCAGTGAATACATACATACATACTGGCAGACATTTTGCGTGTGATTGTAATAAAAAAGAATATTTCCTTCAAGACCTTGTGTGATCTATAAATATGTAATACAAAGGTACTCCATTAAGACTACATCTATCTCTGGGTTTCATACCAAATACTGGAACATTACTTCCGGTTCCTATGTCCTGCAGTAGGTGAGCTGTTATCTGAATTTTCTGATTATGTCTCAGCTGACAGCCCCTCTTGTAGGCTGCCTGCTACCGAAACCTCATAACATCATTTTACACTGTTGCTTGGTTGTGAAAACTTGCTCATCTCTACCAGTCTTTCCCCAATTAAGTGAAATAAATTATATGCAGAAGGCTTTACGTATGATGGCATTTGTAAGGTACTCATCATTAAGGTATCTGGGTTCAGCATGCTAAACTGGCATTACACAGTAGGTGAAAAGGGATGTTTTCATGTTTAATCTTCTCTCCTTTGGTTTGCAGAGCTTGGCTTATAATTACTTACAAAACCATTTATAACCACGCAATTAAACTTGTCAGCATATCAGAAATAGAACTGAGGAAGTGGTCAAAAATAACCTAATTATCTGAACACACTTTTTCCCCCAAGGTGTTACCCAGCTGGACAGTGAGAGGTGGTTTGAAGATTAAATCTGGGTGTTGTCTAGGTCTGTAGACTGTTAAAGACTGAACTGGAATTATTTAATAATTTTTGCTGCAAAACTACCACACTCAAATTATCATGCTGTTGAAGAAGGCAAAGAAACCTTTTTTACTGAAAGCCATATGCTTAATGTCCTTAAACATCAGAGATTTGACTTTTTTTTTTTTTTTTTTTGACAAAAAAACCCTAATTTTAAAAGCATCTGGTTTGTCTGTTCAAGACTTACACAACTGGTTTAACCTAGGTATCACTTTGGTAAGATGTCTCACACAAAAGGCACCAAAAACAAGGGTGTGGACACACACAGCCTTAGCGGGTACAGACAAAAGTGCAGCTCCCAGCTGTAAGTCAGAGGTTGTTCTGCGAAGCATTCTGAGTTACAACATTACTCCAGACCAGCAGTTCCCAAACTGTGGGTCACAACCCCAAATGGGGTTGCAACATCAGCAGATAGGATCGTGGGAGTGAGGGGCCATACTGAGAAAATGGGGCCATAAGTGGGGTCATGCTGAGGAAAAGTTTGGGAAGCATTGTCCCAGCCCCCAAACCAAACAGTAGTTCACTCTTGGCTGTGCGGGGGGAGGATCTAGCTGGGGCTAGGAGCCTGCAGCCAGGTTCCCATAGCAACAGCCAGGCTCTCTGCCAGTGCTCACTGTTTTCAGACTGGGAGGGGGGAAAGGCAGCAGAGGGACCTTGTTCTTGGGGCTCCCTACCTGGTGCTGAAAGGTGGGGTGGATGAATTGGAGCCCCTCCACTTTGGGGGTGGGGGGGAGAGGGCTTCAATACACCTGCCCCACTGTCCGGGGGGGTGCTGAAACCCCCCAGACTGAACTCCCTCTCATTCTGAAAACAGGAATAGGCTGGGAGCTCCCCAGACACAAGTTACAGAAGATGGTATATTTGAAATGTCTTTATCTGATACTTCATGCAATAAGGGGTCAGATTTCACCCAATCGCCATTTTTTGAACTGTCTGCAGCCATCTATCTGCAGCTGTCTTCAGAGTGGACAAAGGCCTTCTGAAGCACTTAATTGAAGTGCTTCAGGTTACATTCACACGCTTTGCAAAATATATGAGACCTCCGTTTGTCTTCCAACATCCCACAGTGCTGTCCATAGGTGGGAAACCAGGGTAGATTATCAATGAGTGCCCTCATGTACACTCCACCTTCATGCTGTCAGAGCATCTCCCATGCATGAACCATGAGATCTGGGGGAACGTTTGTTCACCAAAGCGCCCCAAGGGATGACGAGGTCGAACGGTTATAAACTACTGCGAGACCATTTCAGGCTGGACATAAGGAAGAATTTCTTTACTGTCCAAGCCCCCAAGGTCTGGAACAGCCTGCCATCGGAGGTGGTTCAAGCACCTACGTTGAACACCTTCAAGAGCAAATTGGATGCTTATCTTGCTGGGATCCTATGACCCCAGCTGACTTCCTGCCCTTTGGGCAGGGGGCTGGACTCGATCTTCCGAGGTCCCTTCCAGCCCTAATGTCTATGAAATCTATGTCCTCTGGTTTGAGAGAGTGCTACTGTATGCAGCAAACTGTGAGCTTGATGCCCTGAAGCCAGAGAGCATGTTGGGAGACTGTATCTGTTGGCAGCTGAGGCACTCCATTTTTAAGTGCTTTAAAGTACAGCTGCATTTGAAGTGCTTCAAATGTTATGTCTGTCCATACCCTAACTAAGAAAAGCTGTCTACTTCCTGATGAACTTTTGCTTCATGGCACATACAGTGAGCAGCACACTCTGCTGTTTGAGTCACTACCCCCCTGGGACTGAGGGGAAGGAGCAGAATTCATATGCATGGACCTGTCCTCAGAGATTCAGGCTGAGAAACAGATGCATGCTTTTCCCTGAAGCCTCAGGAGTAACAGAAAGCTGGTTGCAGACAAATAGCTTTTGGTTGGTTTGTGCAGATAAATAAATTAAAGGGCAGACATGTCATAAATTTCCTGAGCTGCCTTGGACTCTGCTTTAGTGTGTGGATTACATTTTGCA